TAATAATAATAATAATAATAATAATGATGATGATGATGATGATGATGATGATAATAATAGTAACAACAATAATAACAATAGTAATATGAATAGTAGTAGTAGTTGTGATGCATTGTTAAGAGAGAGTAACTGTGTGTGATTGCGAGTTATGTCCTTTATATCTGTGTGTATCACGTGACCATTTAACATGTGTTTTTCACGTGATCACTCACGAATCATGGCAGTTCAGTTCAGAATAAACTCCCGAGCAAGTAGCACGTGTCGTGTTGAAGATACTATATTATTGGCGACGAAGAAAATTCTTAGTGTGCTGGCCATGGCGACAATCGATTCAGTCCATGAATTCGATGAGAAGGAGGATTCGTGGAAAGAATAGTGCCTGCCTTGAGCTGTGATTTTGCTCATAATCTTTCAACGCACTACAGAGAGTGTTTTTCGTCATGTTCCCAACTGCGTCAACTATCTTGATGATCTCTACATCACAGGGGAAAATGATACAGAACACCTGAAGAGTCTTAGCAAGGTTCTCTCCATCTGTGAGGATAAAGGATTATCTTTACGCAAGGGCAAATGTGAATTCATGAGAGAAAAAGTCACGTTCTTGGGTTTCAGGCTCGGCAAGCATGGCATACAGCCCATGGACGATAAAGTCGAGGCCACCCGCAAGATACCTGCGCCTCATGAAAAACACCAGCTGAAGTCATTCCTGAGTTTGATCAATCATTACGGAAACTACGTTCCCAATCTCGCAAAGATTTTGGCGCCCCTCTTCATATTAGCTCCACCAAGGCACACAATGGTGCTGGAGTAAACAGCAACAACAAGTTTTCGCCCAAGCCAAGAAAGTGCTGTCACCAGAAAATGTTTTAGGCCAGTTTGATCCCAATCCTGGAAACTGTGATCACTTGTGATGCTTCCTCTTTTTGGGTAAGTGCTATTCTGAGTCAAGTGGATAGGGGCGGTGCTGAAAAACCAGAGGCATATATGCAAGTAGAACCTTGAGTGTGGCGGAAAAGAACTACGCACAGACCGATCGTGAAGGTCTGACTGTGATCTTTGCTGTGAAGAAGTGGGACAGGTAATTTCAGCAAGAAAATGACCGCCAAAGTTTGGTGATTTCTAAAGTTTTAATGTCCTTTGAAACTGCAAATTTTAGATTGTTGTGCCTTTGATCAATGTTTTAAAGTAAAATCCACACGTAAATGTATTTCTTAATGGGCATAGACGGTCTTGATGACGTAGACCAAATGAAAAAATATGAAACTTTGGCAGTACCCATAACTTGAAACGTAGTGTTGCACTGTTGTATTTTCATTAAGTTCAAATGTGTGAGAGGAAAGCCCAGTTTAAGTTAAATTCAGTATTTTTGTAGCGTTCGCCATCATTTGTTTCGAAATTGTATATTCACTGCGGAGTGCCGACAGCGCCAAAGGGTATTTAGTGTTCAGTTGTACATAAAGTAGGTTTACGGGAATTCCCGGTTTCGGTCTCACGCCTTTAGGAGGAGGAGGAAGAGGAGGAGGAGGAGGTGTAGGTGTAGAAGAAGAAGAAGAAGAAAAAGAAGAAGAAGAAGAAGAAGAAGAAGAAGAAGAAGAAGAAGAAGAAGAAGAAGAAGAAGAAGAAGAAGAAGAAGAA